CAAGTAGACACAGTGTGTAAACGTAGCTGCACCACAGAGCAACACTGCAAATGTATTCAACCATTTGAAGACTCACAAAGTGACGTTTGATGCAATTGTGCATTGTGTGGCTGCACAGCTGGCCTTGATGTTTGGCTATTTGTATGCATAAATATTATGCAGCATTTTTTTTTAAGTTTTTGACAAACTTTAAAGTCATTATTCAACACTTTGTTATTGTTAAATAAATATCATCAAATAATCGAGATGATCATTTTTTGCCATAATCGAGCAGCCCTGCCTGCTGATGCTCTGAGGACGTTTACTCCTCCACCTGCTGCCATGATGTCAACAGAGAGTCCCCGCTGTCAGCACCTTAAAATGACCTTTGACCTTTCACAGTTCTCAGCTTCTTAAACATCTGCAGAAAGTTTGTGAATAATCTGTGTTGTCCTGCATGTTGTTCAGATGTGTAAATAGTGTTTGTGTGTCCACACAGTCTGTGGAGAATCTTCCCACCGTGTTCGGCAGCAACAGTAAGGCCCAGACAGCCGCCAAGACGGTGTTCGACCTCGCTCATCGGCATGGCAACATCCTGAGGGAGGGCTGGAAGAACATCGTGGACTCCCTGCTGCAGCTGTTCAGAGCTGAACTGCTGCCCAAAGCCATGGTGGAGGTCGTTATCCTGCCCTCGCTCTGCTCTCTGATAGTAGATGATCTGTGGCTCTACTGTTTGTCTTTTGTAAAGAGACACAAAGTTGTGCTAACACCTGCCTGTGTCCTCAGGTGGAAGACTTCGTAGAGCCCAACGGGAAGATTTCTCTTCAGAGAGAGGAAACGCCTTCAAATCGGTATACACCAATCTCACCCTCCACCTTTAGACCAATAAGTAACACTGGTGAACTTTGTTTACCTGCTAGAACTGCTGTCAGCTGCTCCCGTGCTCAGCGGTTAGCTCTGCATGTTGGACACGAGTGAACCAGCTTTATTCCCCGTAGAACAGACCGCATCTTTGAAACCAGTAGGCATGTGCTAGCTCAGAGGCCGTGGAGTAACAGCACGTTTTCTCCTCATGTGTTACCTTCAGTGGCGAGTCAGCAGTGCTGAGTGTTTTCAACTGGCTGAGTGGAGCCGAGCAGTCAGGACTCAGAGCGCCGTCCACAGAAAACCAGGAAGCCAAACAGGCTGCGATCCACTGCATCAAGGTACTGGACTCACCGCGAACACAGTCGAGACACCGGCTGCCATCCTCAGCTTTATCGTAGCAACAATGACACAGAGCAGATGCTGCGAGTAATCAGACTACCTGTAGTTACAGTAACTGGTGCCTGATTAAAACTATGTTAGTGTCTGACGTTTATCCAGTTAAATGACGACAGCACCAGTGATCGTTTTGGTTTGTTGTAATATGAACGTTACAGTCGTGATATTCAACAAACTGGAGTTAAACTGGGATCATCTGTGGGAATGGGAACAACGTTAGCCTGCTTCATAGTTTAACACATTCGACCTTACTGAGCTGCACGTTGACCAACACTGTATCAGATCACCATCAGCAGGTCTGCTGTTTGTCTTCCAGCAATGTGACCCAGAGAAGCTGATCACTGAGAGCAAGTTCCTGAAGCTGGAGTCTCTACAGGAGCTCATGAAGGTTATTGTTGTTCAGC